TGAGTTTCTGAATCTCACTGTTTCACTCCTGAATATACCAGAGTGTTGTCGGTGCCAAACTTCTCTCTGAAAGAAATGTTATCTGGATGGGGAGAACAAAAGGGAGAGTTTGGGCTCCTGGTCCTAAGAAAATGTTACTCTATTGCAAACTGAAGATTGCCACAAGGGTGAACATTTCCCACAGAAATTCAATTTCATAAATTCTTAGAACAAGCCAATGGAGAGAAGTGCAAGGATCGATTTGAATTTACAGAAACATTCGAGATCGTGAGCCATGAACAATGTAAGTAAATTCCTTGAATTTATATTCTCCTTAATACTGAGACTGTCTCCTACTTGAGTAGATTTGAATGCAGTGACCATAGCCTTGTGTCTCTGTCACTACTCACCCATTTTCTCCCACTTGCAGCTGCCTGGAGTGGTACCCATTTTGCACTGAGCTGTAGATTTGAGAAGGTGGAAGACTTATCATATTGTGTCTCATCTCAAACTAAGTGGGGCTAGGGATCATTCTCAAGATGTGCCTACTTGGACTCTAATTCAGAATCACACTTTTGGTGTCATGTAGTCCTGAAATGTTTGCACCAGGAGGTGTTGACACAAGTTCTATGTCTTACACATACCAAAGATATGGCCCCTGCTATATGTGTCAGGAACATTAGTGATAGCAGCCCAGATGTGATCAGTAAATTGCTTATTTTAGAGAAGGTTGATATTGTCATGGAGTCTGAGCAAAGGGACAAACTGGAGATTTAAAACTGAGATCAACTTTGATAATTCTTTTGACTTGACCCTTATCTCAGCTAAACACTCATATGCATATATCATTGGCGTAATGGAAAGTGCACAAGTGTACTGCGGAAAGTCAGTAATTAATTAAATCTTCTAGTCACCATACCATCTAATCATATGTCATACTATTTCTGTATGCAAAATATGGATATACACAGTTTGTTTTTTCACTATTCTTTTTGTAAATATGTTGGTGTGTGTGCATGTTTATGTGTGTACATGTATGTGCACATGTGAATGGAGTCCAAAGTCATTCTCCACTTTATTTTTTGAGACAGAATTCTTTACTTAACCTAGATCTCACTAATTGGCTAGGTTGGCCGATAAGATTCAGGTATCTACTTGCCTCAAACACTGCCCCAGTGTGGTGCTAGGATTTAGGACTGCAGATCCTTATACCTGACTTTTATATGTGGGTGCTGGGATCTGAACTTATGTCCTCATGTTCACAGATGGCAAATGCTTTACCAACTGAGCCATCCTTCCAGCCCCAGTAGTAAATTTAAAAGTACTGGAAACAAAGGGTTGAAGATAAAATTCTAGAAGAAAATTTGCCTAGTATGTGCAAGGCTCTGGGTTCAATTCCCAGCACTACAAAAAACAGAGTGAATGGGAACAAACCAGTCCAGCTTTCAAGAGAAGTATTTGCACTGTTGACCATCTTGACACTTGCATCTAATTTCAATGATAGTTTGAGACCATAGATTATTGCCACTGTTTTGGGCAAGGACTGTGCTACTGTGATCTTACAGTAAATTATGTTTTTTATGAAGGCTGCTTACTTTGGAATATAGAACAACAGTAACTATAAACTTCGCCTCTTTTTAATGGTATAAACTTCATAATTATAGTTCTTTTTGTTATAAGTAAAAGTTTATTTTGGATGTAGGTCTATTCTTGTATTTTCACTTTTGTTCCGTTATATTTCACACGTCTTCATTCCTGCCCACCAGCCTGAGTACTGGAAGTTTATAATAACTCTTGATATCTAGTAAGTAAAGAACCGTTCTGTTTTACACTATTGTTATTAAATTATTATTGGGGTTGGAGGCTCCTTATTTTTCACAGCTACATGAATGGAAAAAAAACCTCACAAATTATAAAATATTGGACTGGTGATGTGGCTCAGTTGGGTTCCATCTCAACCATGCAAAAATTGTATATGGCAGCAGAACTCTGATTTTTTGTACTTGGGAGCTGGAGGCAAGAGGATGTCCTATCATGTCCTATCGTGGGTTGAAGGGTCAGCTAGGCTACATGGCATCCTTTGTCAAAGCAAACAAATAAACAAAAATTAATATCATCAACAGTAATATGAGGAACAGGAAGTGAGACCCTCTATTATTGCAGTTCTTGTGCAGACTTTTAGTATTGAGACCCTTAGCCTTCTAAGAATTTCAGTCTTTTCTGTAGGTTGTGTAGGCATAGGAAGTAGAGGATGTTCAGCCTTCGTCTGTGGTTAGACTTGCAGCTCCAAGGTGGGATTGGATATTGACATGTCTCATCCCTTGGCAGCAGCCAGTGTTATAGGTCTTATGTAGGCTTAGGAAGTAGGGGAATTTCTTTCTTTCTTTCTTTCTTTCTCTCTCTCTCTCTCTCTCTCTTTCTTTCTTTCTTTCTTTCTTGTTACAAAGGCGTCTTGTTTATTCTTATCAGCATCACTGACTCTCAGGGTTCACATTTCCCAACACTGCTCCTCTCCGTACAGTAGTTAATGTGCAATCTCACTTGTGGGCATGGGAAGGGTAAGGGCTTGCTCTGGGTTGGAAGGGCATTGGCACTTCACATGGGCCAGTGGGTGATGGCTGTCCCTATGAGAGGCATGGATGGGTGGGAGGGTAGCCACTGGGTTTGCCCCTAGTTGTCTTTCCTGCTAGGTGGGTTACTTTTTCACTCTCCTGGGTGCTTGGGGTGGGAGCATGCAGCTCTCAGGAGGGCAGAGCAAGCAGCTGACTGCCAGAGGAGGGGTGCAGGGGTGGCTCCTGAGGTAAGACACAACCCTGTCTTTGGCTCTCCTAGTGAGTAGTTTTCTCCCCTGCACCCCTGGCTTTATACCTCCGCCACCCCAAGCCCCGGGAGTCAGGGCCACCTCCTGAGGTGCTTGGAACCAATGGCCTCTGCAGCCCACTCTACAAGACCTCTCATTCCCATGGAGCTGCCCCCTTACTAAGCCTGGGCAGCGAGCACAGCCTGCCCTCACCATGGCCAGGCTCAGCTGCTTGCCAAGTTTCCACGAGATTGTGCTTTGGGATCTTTGCTGGGGGAGGTGGGACAACAGGCCAGGACAAGGGTAGAGGCAGTGGGTATGACTAAGGTGCTTGTGCTTTAGCTAGGGGTGTCAACTCCCCTCCACTTGGTCACCCAAGGCTAAGGTACTGGGGGCCAAATCAGACCCAACAACCCACCCTCGCTATCAGATGTTAAGAGGGACCCTGGCAGATTAGAGGGTGCTGCTGGCCTGGAGGTTGGTCTCCAGATCTGACTCAAAAGGCTCCATCCCACCTTCTCCAATCCTGCAACTCCTTGCCTCTGAAGAGGCAGCTAGAATGCAGAGTTGGGGAGAGGGAAGGAGGTCAGGGCTAGAACAGAACCAGTGAGATGGTGAATTGACATTAATGAAGGGAAGGAGTAACAGAAACCCTGTGCTCACATATTAAACTCAGAAACCCAAGAGCTTGCTCCTGGAGAGTTAAGAGTGGAAAGGAACAGCCAGAGAAAGCTCCACAAACCACCAACAAGGCATGTGGACCCTGCCCTGCCTCATCCCCCAGGAGTGGGCTCAGCCAACTGGGACCTGTGAACACCCTTAAACTGTAGTTATGGGGGAGAGGAAGCTGGTTGGATCCACAGGAGTCCTGGGGCACTGGGAATGGGCCCCTATGGAAACATGCACCCACATTCCACACACACACACACACACACACACACATTCAGTTTTCCCTGCATCCTGCCTTCCACAGCCCAGGGACCCAGGGGACCTCAGACACATTCCCATTGATTTGAAAAATCTTATACTTGAAATCTTATACTTCATTATTTCATTCGCTAAAAAAATGTTTCAAAAAGTTATGTACAGGGGGTGGAGGTTGGGAGCCCTGCCCAGGGTCAGATGGGAGAAGGGCAACAGCCTCCCAGCCTGCTCCCTAGTTCCGATCCTGGTCTTGCTGCCTCATGATCTTCATGTTTTTAAAAGCAAATACTCTACGCACGCACACACGCATGCATGCACGCACACCCACAAATTCTGCCGGACTGGAAACCTGTCCTGAGACTCTTGTCTGCCCACAGGAGCTCTGCTTTCTTAGAACCAGCCTCTTGGGCTGAGGGAACTCACAGAGGCAGAGCAGGGTGGGATTAAGAGGGGTGTGATGGAGGCTGCTAAAGAGGATCAGTTTTAAGAATTTCTCTAAGCCCTTTGGGCTTGTTTCCTCATCTGCAAAGTAGACAGTCCCTCTTGGCCTCACCTACCCCAGCCTCAAAGTGCAGGGACAGATGAGAGAGACAGGAAGGTGCTTTTGAAGACATGGAAGCACTGGGGGGGGGGGGGTTGGGAGGGGTCCTGAGAACCCCTGGGCCCATGTAGTCCCAAGCAGACACAGTGAGGGGCAGGCTCTTCTTGAGCTCTGCCCATCCCCTAGCCGGGCCTGGTGCTGGGAAATGCCTAAGAGGAAGGGGAACCAGCGCTCCCCATGAGTGTTGAGGAAGGTCACAGATCCCACCTGATGCCTGTCCTCTCTTGACCCAGCCCAGCTTGCTTTGGGGAAAAGCTGTGGGATGACAGGGAGGCAGAGAGGCTGGGAGCATGCAGCACCCCCTGCAGGTTCCGGGGACAACAGACAGTAGCTAGTGACTAAGGTGGTGGGGGTATGTGTGTGACAGGAAGGGGAGTGTGACATCCATGGGAGGGTCCTAGGCGGCTACTGGAGGACCTCCTCTGATGGGGCTGTCTGTCTGTCTGGAAGCTGTATTCTATGCCCATCATGTTCAGCTCTTTCTCACTGTCACTGAGAAAGCTGCTGCAGGTGCTGCCCTCAGCTAGGTGTGGTGGCTTTGGTCAGCCAGCTACTGCATCCTGCTAGAGGGCATGGAGTACCTCCTCACAGGTCCTGAGGAGGGACAGACAGTAGATCGTGACCAGGTGGTAGATGGGGGTATATGATAGGAAGGGGTGTGTGACATCCTGTAAGGGGAAGGATGTCACACATATGTTACTGGAGAACCTCAGCCGAAGGGCCGGCCTCGCCATCGTGGCTGGTTGTCTCGAAGCTGTGTTCCATGCTCATCATGTCCGGCTCTATCTTGCCAGTGTCGTTGATGAAGCTGCTGTAGCTATCACCCTCCACCAGGTGCGGTGGCTTGGTCTTGGGCAGCCAGCTTTTACGCACCACTCGGCGGCCATAGGTGCACATGTCAGCTGCAATGGCGTTCATCTCACTCTCCTTGAAGTTGGGGGCGAAGTTCTGGCAGTAGTACTTGACAGCAGGGAGGACGCGACTGTCTAGCGGCTTGCGTCTGGGGTCATTGGTGGAAGAACGGATGCCAGTGCCACAGCTATTGGCCAGTGTGTTCCGGTCAAAGAAAGATGCCAGGAGCCTCCGCAGCAAGACCTTGTACCTCATGCCTGCACTGACAAGGCAGTTCATGAGCTGTGCCCTTGTGATGTACACATTGGTGCCTATCACGAGCTCCAGCTTCTCAGAGGGGTCACTTTCATCATAGAGCTTTGGGTGGCAGCGGTTGCCAATCTGGTTGATAAGTTCAGCTGGGAGAGATGCCAGGTCTTGTCGCACCCGGATGCGACTTCGGGACTCGAGGACCACCTGCTCAGGGAGGGCTTCTACTTTCTCAGCTGACTGACCAACGTTCAACATACTGTACATGGTGTACATACTGCAGATCTGACGGTACTGCTCATCTGTACCCTCTTCACCTGCATCTTCCTCTTCGTGGTAGGAGCCAGGGCTGTCACTGGTGTAAGCACTGGAGGTACCTGGGCTGGTCAGCTCTGACATGCTTGGTCCACTCACACATCCCCCCACTGTAACCACAGCCACTGCTGCTGTAGCTGTGGCCACTAAGACAGGTTGGGGCATCCGGTTTGGGGCCAAGTCTGGTGTGGAGAACTTGGCCATCTTGCGGCTGCCATTGTTGCTACCACTGCCTCCAGCCTCCTTCTGGCTGCTATCCCATAGCCTCTTGGCCATGGGTGTACATTGCACGGAGTCCAACTCCTGTTCTGTCTTGACCCGTGACACAAGGGGCAGTGGCGTGCTACAGGCTGGCCAGCCCAGTGTCTGCGCTACAGGACTCTGAGGCTCTGAGGATGGGGCCTCCTCCGGGTGCAGGCCCTGGGAGTTGCAACTTGGAGAGCTAACTTTGAGGAAGAACTCGGTGCCCTTCTCCATGATCTCCTGGATCTGCAGGAAGCCGGCTATGTAGATGAGATGGAACTGGTCCCCCATGTTCATGCTCAGCCGGCCTGTATAGCAAAATGTCAGGATCTGCTGGAATGACTGTGGCTGCACGGCGGCTGGCAGTTTCACTACAGCACTGTGGCTGCTGTTGAATAGGTCCCGGAAGTAGGAGCTGCTGGCGGCCAGCACAGCACGGTGGGCATTGAAGGCATGGCCCTTAACCACCACTGACACATCACAGTATAGTCCCTGCAGCCGCCGCTCATTGAGGCACTCGAGGATGCTGTTGCCGAAGTTTGGAATCTCCATCTGCAGGGTCTGTGCCATGGCGGCAGCTGGGGCCGGTCCTGGGCCCGGGGTTCGCCCCCCTGCGTCTCGGCCTTGACCTCGGCCTCGGCCTCTGCAGCCTCCGTGGCCTCCGCCTCAGCAGCAGTGGTAGCCGTGGAGGCCATTCATTGTGGGCCAGGCCGCCCCAGCCGAGCACCGAGTGGGAATTTCTTAGTTATTAATACAAACGAGCATTAGAGCTCTTAGCCCAAGACTGGGATCACCTTTGACCTAAAGACTTGATTGCTCTATGTAACTTTTCTGGTGTCCAGAGACAGTTGTTTCTTCTCTATGATACTTTGCAAGTCTCTACTCTTATACACCCTCAGGTTTATTCCCTTTCCTGATGCTTCTCTTCCTCTGCCCTTCTTTCTGCCCTAGCCACTCTTGAACTGTTCAGTTACTTTCCTTCTGTAGCTGTGAAACAACTGCCTTGATGAACCCACAATTCAATCTGTTGATACCTCAACTGCCACTGCTGCTCTGCTGCCTCTTCTGTCACTTTCCTGCCTCTGAGCATTCATTCCTTGGATACAATCTTATCTCATATTATGAAGAGGAGGCAAGAAAACATCTCTTGAGAAGGATGGAGAAATAGTTCTATGGCTCTACCAAAGGACCCAGGATTGGTTCCCAGTAACCACATAACAGCTCACAACTATTTGTAACTGCAGATCTAGGAGATTCCACAATTCTTCTGACCTCTACATGTACCAGACATGCACATGGTACACAGGGGAAAAATTACAAAAAATATTAATATGTTCAGACATAGATATATTTAAAAGATCACTTAAGAGAAACCTTTCATTTGGCCTGGTGCTACAAACCAGAAAAGGCAGTAACTAATGAATGTCTCCCTTGCTACTCATTGAACAAAACTGCTTTGTTTTGTAAAACCAGTCATGATCATCGAGGCTTATATTTTATATCAATCACAGCCTTGCCACTTCCCACCATTCACATTCATAATGATTATGTTTTTGTATAAATCATGATAGTGACACATAGGACCAATCATAGTCACTGAAGTTTATACTTTTAGACCAATCACGGCCTTGCTCTTAACAGAAATCAGAGTCATTTAAACTTGTGTTTTGACCAGTCACAGCCTTGGCTCTTAGGACCAATCACAGTCAGCAGGTATTATGTTCTCAGCCAATCGCATAGGCAGTGTGTATTCTATTGTTGCCTGGATACGGTAAACATAAGAGCACTTGACTTCAAGTGGCTGGTAAGGTAAGGTGAGGGCAGTTGGTGCTGTGCTGTAAGGGCAAAAATCTTGGGTTGTTTTCTGTTTGATCTTGTACCAGTCATTGAGACAGTGATGGTGAACTCACCAAATGTAAACTGTGAATTTGATAATTTACTATTTCAGTAATATCAGTGTTTAGTTTAGTCTAAAGTTGTATAGTCAAATGTATACCTATCTGTGGTATTTAAGCTTAGTTTTCTAACTTGATCTTTATGAAATATCTCTCATTTTCTCAAGTAATACTGTTTATAGCACAATTCACTCTTTCTAATAACACATACCATACATTGGCAAATAGGGCCAGACTGGCTGTATTTCTAAATACTGACAAGTTTTATCATGATGGTTATCTGGTATAGAACCATGAAGGATGAACTGAGATGAATAACTAAGAGGGAATAGATGAGAAACTGAAGAATGGGGGTATAGAAGAAAGAAGATAGAAGAAGTTAGCTAGATAAATGATAGAGGAGAGATACAGGATAACTAGGGATAAAAGTAATAACAATGGAAGATGGGATATCTAGATGATAGGTGGTAAGTGGATGGAGATAGATACAGGATAGGTGACAGAAAGGTGGAAAATAGATACAGGATAATTAAAGATAAATGACACATGGATGGTAGAGAGATGCAGGGAAGCTCGAGGATAGGTGGTTGATAGATGAGAAACAGACACCGGGTAGCTACGAAACAGATGAAGGATAGATAAATGGAAGACAGTTACAGGAAATCTAGATAATTAATGATAGATAGATCACAGAGATCTAGGGCAGCTAGAGGATAAATGATACATGGATGGTATAGAACACAGGATAGCTAGATGACAGTTGATAGATAGATAGCAGACAGTTACAGGAAATCTAGATGATTGATGATAGATAGATCACAGAGATCTAGGGCAGCTAGATGATAAATGATACATGGATGGTATAGAACACAGGATAGCTAGAGGACAGCTGATAGATAGCAGACAGTTACAGGAAATCTAGATGATTGATGATAGATAGATCACAGAGATCTGGGTAGCTAGATGATAAATTATACATGGATGGTATAGAACACAGGATAGCTAAAGGATAGCTGATAAATAGATGAAAGACAGGCACAAGATAGCCATAGGATTAATGATAGATAGATCACAGAGATGTAGGCTAGCTAGATGATAAATGATATATGTATAAGTATATGACACAGGATACTTAGAGGATAAATGGTGAATACATGGAAGACAGGCACAGGATAGCCAGAAGATTGAAGAGCAACAGATTGAAGGCAAACAGAATAGATATAAGATAAAAAAATAGATAGATGGAAGATAGACAACATATAGACAAAGGAAAGATGACTAAAAAGATGGAAGATAGACATATGATAGCTAGAAGTTAGATGAGAGGTAGAAGAGAAGTATAGGGTAGTTAAAGAATAATGATACATGGATGATCGACAGACATAGACTAACTAGAGGCTAGAAAACAGATATATGGAAAATAGCCAAATAATAAATAAAGGAAAGATGAGAAAAAGATGAATGGTAGGAAAAGGAGACCAAAGAGGTAGAGGATAGCTAGATGGAAGTGGAGACACAGCGTAGCTATAGGATAAAAGATAGATGGAATAAAGAGAAAGGATTGGTAAAAGGAAAGATGATAATTAGAAGGAAGATAGACACAGGATAGCTAGAAGTTGGATGACAGATAGACACAAAAGTGGTAGGTAAGGATAGATGATAGAAAGATGGAACAGAGATATAGGATATGATGATAGGTGGTAGATATATGATAACTAGAGGATTGATGATAGATAGATGGACAGTAAATACAGGTTAGCTGGAGGATAAAAAATAGATAGATGAAAGATATAAACAGTTGAGTTTTTAGATAGATAGATGGAATAGATCAATAGATAGATAGATAGATAGATAGATAGATAGATAGATAGATAGATAGATTCAAATAGCTAGAAGATGATATATGTTAGACAAAGGATAGTTAGAGGATATATTTTAGTTGGATGGAAGATAAAGAACAGAGCTACAAGATAGATGAGAAATAGATGGAATATAGCCACAGGAAGGCTATAAATAAATGGAAGATAGACACTACTAGATAGGTGACATATAGATGCAAGATAGACACAGGATAGATAGAATATAGATGATACATAGATGATAATGGATGTAAGAGAGGCACAGGATGAATAGAGAGATGACAGATAGGTGTTTCATACAGGATAGCTAGAGAACAGGTGATAAAATGATAGAAGAGAGATACAGGGGAGCTGAAGTATAAAGGACAGAAGACAAAGGATAGCTAGAGTAAAGATTTAGATAGATGGAAGATCGATAAATAATAGATGATAGATGGATGGTAGACAAGGTTCTCTAGAGGGAACATGATAGATGTATAGAATATATACACAATATAAATAGAGGACATATGATAGATGAAGATGGTTACAGCATGTCTGAAGGGTAGATCATAGGAAGATGAAAGATAGACACTGTATTGCTAGAGTATATTTATATGACAGAGAGATGCAAGATAGCTAGAAAATAGTGATAGGTCGTTAGAAAATAAACACAGAATGAGATAGATCATGTATAGAAGAAAAGACAGATGGTAGATGGATGAGAGACACAGGAAAGCGAGATGATAGATGACAGAGAGAAGATAGAAAAAGAATAGCTAGAAGATAGATGAGTGGAAAGTAGACATGTGATTTCTAGAGTATAGATTATTGATTAATGGAAGGTATAGACAGCTGATTAGAGGATATACTACAGAAAGTTGGAATATATAGTATATCTGGATGTGAGATGATAAATAAATGGAAGATAAATGCACTATACCTATAGCATAGATGAGAGATAGGTGAAAATAATAAAAGGAAAATAGACACAGGGAGAGCCTGAGGATAAATGATACGTGGAAAATACAGGATACCTAGAGGATAAACAGTAGTATAGTAAAGTCAGGATAGCTAAAGAATTGATGATAGATGGAAGATAGATACAGGGTAGTGATATGATAAAGAGTAGGTAGTAGACAGACAGGACATCTACAGGATAGATAATGGATAGCTAGAAGGTATATAAATGATAGATGGAAGACAGGCATAGAATAGATATGAGATAGATGCTAGTTGGATAGAAGGAAGACACCAGATTTTTAGAAAATAGACAAAAGATATATTGAAGACAGCATATCTAGAGGATAGATGACTGATTGGTGGAAGATAGTAGAGATTAAGTAGGCACAAGAATGTAAGTGGCCCATCAGTGCAAGATAGGTACAGGATAACTATAGGATAGATACAAAGATAGACATAGGATAGTTCGAGGGTGTATAAGTAGATAGACACAGGAGAGTTACAGGAAAGAAATAGATGGAATATAGACACAGGATGTGTATATGACAAATTTCAGAAATTTGGGAGATGGATAATAGACAAAGGATATATAGAGAATAGACAGTAGTTAAATGGCAGATAATAGATGGAGCAAAGACTTAGTAAGGGTATAAAATGAATGATAGATGAAAGATAATAGATCAGAGAAGGATATGATATAGGTAGTTCAGCAGTAATAGATGGAAATTAGACATAGGATAACAGAGGTATAAATGATACATTGAATGTAAACACAGAATAGGTAGATGATAGATTATAGATAGAAGATAATAGCTGAAAGATAGATACAGGTTAGTTAGAGGATAGATTGTGGATGTGAACTAAGAGGTAGGAA